ACTGTTGATTATTTTTTACACATCACTTAAATTTCTTTCAAGTTTAATTACTTTTGAAGGGGGGTAAGTGATAATTAAAAAACTTTATTTCCAAACTTTCATTACCAGGTTACATGTGATAATTGCAACACTCAATCTTCAAAAACAAATATAATTTGAATGTATATTTTGTATATGCGCGGTCTTTAACTACAGTTCATGGCATATGTGGTAAGAAAATGATTCTGAAGAGGATATATATAAATACAATGTAAATCTATTTTCTTTATTAACATTTATAAATGAAATTGAAAATATACAACTAAATTTGTATAGTCCTTTCTCTGAAAAATGATGAAAATAAACATGTGATAAATAAATCATTTGACGTGAATTATTTAGGATATCTATGAAAAAATTATGTTTCAAAATAAAAAATAATATTATAAAACAGCTGTTCTCTATCAGTATGCCAATAAAAGTTTCTTCGAATACCTTGCCAATCTAATGAATTCATCTATATAGGAATGCTTGTCTAGAATGATCTGAAAATATATTTAATACACTTAATAGTAGAATATTTACTATATTTATACTAATATACAGGTAATCAAATAAAAAATGTACAAATCATTTGGAAATAATTCACAGAAATAAAGACACATTTCAAACATGAATTTCTTTAAAAGTTTTTTAGCAATCAAGAAACGTTTTTTTGCAATGCCATCATTAAACCATGTAAAAAATAATTATCTTATTCTGAATCGCGGTAATAATTCGTGCTTGAAGTAAAAGGGCGGCGAAGTGTAGAGAGTATGCCTAAACAATAGGCGAATATTTTTTAAATTAGGTACTTTTTAACTAAGCGTTGCAGCGTTCGATCAGCATATTTTCATATAATAATACTTTAGCGACACAAAATGATACTGTATCAATACATTCATATGTGTATAATTTTTCACAAAGCTGCAATAACACCACATACTCATGGCCGTCGTCGATGGTCCGGCCGGTCCGGCCTTGGCCGGACCAATATTTTGGCCAAAAATGAGTAAAAAAAGATAGAAAAACATGCATCGCTGATTAGCAATTTGACACTATGTCAATATGTTACCAGTGATAGGACATTCTCGGCGCTCAGAAGAATAAAGACATACCTGAGATCGACAATGCCTCAAGTATGTTTGAACAATCTAAGTAATGGTGTTACATATTCGTAAGTACAGGACAGATTCACTCAGCTTACATGTATAATTGCCGATGAGTTCATTACCACCAGAGAACAACGGCGATGTGTTTTTGGAAAATTTACATAAAATGAGTAAGATTATTGTGAACAAAATACAAGTTACTGCTAAACAAAAAGTGGTTATTGTTGACTCGTAATGTACTATTCTTCCATCATCGATTGTTATTTAAGCTAAAATCATTGTGTGATTTATGTTAAACAATAATCCACGTAGGCCTACTGTAATATTTCTTGTATTTGTTTATTTATAATTATCAGATAAAAATGCATCTAAAGAATTATAACAACATCAGTTATTGTTTATTTTTCATTTGCCAAATATCAATTACATGTATTCATCTTTTATGTACACCTGTCCGTCCGAACCTTAAATTTCACCCTTAAAACTTACGACGCACTTTTAAATATCTGTAAATTTTTAAAAAATCGTTGACATATTACTATAACATGTACTAGCGGCAGGCTGTAAACTGTGCCAAATATACGGGAAAACGCCCCTGAGAGCATCCTAGAATAAAAAAATTTCCGGGGGAGCATGCCCCCGTACCCCCCTAGATTCTGACTAAAACCAACCAAATTGGCCGAACCAATCACAAAATCGTGACGACGGGCCTGATACTCCGGTGAAAATCTGTCATATTTCGTACTCCGCACGTTCCGCCATCTCGTTCTGTCCACCTTTATCCGATTCCGCGCATGCGCGCGACGGGACATTAAGCTAAACGAAAGTGTCCGATCCTTGTAATATAAATCCGTGTCTCAATGAATAATGAACAGATGAATTCAAAAAATTTGAAAATCAAATATCAATACCTTTTGGGCTGACGCTTCTGTTTGATGCACGATATGCAATTCCCCATTAGGCTAAACATCGATTATAGCTCTATGATTCATAGATATCTAATTTTTTTTTTCATTCATATAATAAAGTCTTCTTTTACTCAAAGTTATCTTGTCACTTGTGTGATAAAAACAAGATGTTTCCACAAAATTCGAGATAATCAATTTGTGTAATTTGACAAAAACATTCTAGTACAAAGGTAATTCTAAATATTAACAAAAACACTTTTCATAAATTGTCGCAGATGTAAAGTTTTAATTGGAAACGGTTTAAAGTAAAAATTGAAATAAAAAAGACATGGTCGCCGCCATCTTGGATACCGATCGTTGTTTACATCCGTTTAGATACGTCACTACGGATATTCAAGCATAAATTTTAATCTATAACAAGGTATTAAAATAACTTTGTTATTACAGTAGAGTTTTATATTGGTTTAATGAGATAAAAGAAATGCGTTAGCCTTGAAGAATAAAATTGTTTTCAAATCATGAACAAACGTCAACGTTATACACGCAGGTGCTTGCTTTAATAATTTACTTTGCGCCTCATTTGTCATGTAGTACGGTGGCCGAGTGGTTAAGGCGTTGGACTTAAGTTCCAATGGACGAATGTCCGCGTGGGTTCGAACCCCACCCGTACTAGTTTTTTATTTAATATTTTTCATTTTTTTTATTATTGAAATGTTTGTTTAACTCACACTTAGCCTACCATTTCATTTCTCTATAAAAGCAAGGCAGTTCATTTTGTTGTAACAAACATGCCCATTTCACTGAATATATTTTGATTATTAGTCATGCTAAATGTTTGGAATATACAATCACAGCAATTAAAACTGTGTGACAATATAAGCTTGTCAGTGAAAATTTTTGTTGACTGATAACAGTTATAACTATCTATCTATCTTCCATATAGTCAAACCCCTGCTGGGGACCTAGACTTGACGCGCGTCAACTGACAAGAATGTTAGTAAAAGAGCTGAAATAAAAGAATATAAAAGTAATGGAAATGAGTATATTGTTAAAAACAGGTTAAAAATAGAGAAGGTATTTTAGGGAGACGTATGTTCAATCCGGCTTACAGCCAGACTGAACTCGGGGCCAGACAAGTTCATGATATCAGGTGGTAAAGCATTCCAGTGGACTATTGTTCTTGGTGAAAAATGAATATTTATAGTAATCAGTTTTAGTTTGGACTTGTAACAGTTGTTGGAATGCATGGGGATGGGATGTTCTTAATGATCTTGTAAGAGGGACGATATATTTTGGGAAAGGGATAGCCACCTGGTCATGCAAGATGTTGTGAAACATGACCAGGCGTTGGTCAATACGCCGTAGGTCAAGGCGCCTCCATTGAAGGGAAGTCAACATGTCGGTGACACTTGACATACGGCCAAAGTCATGTTTGACCCACCTAGCAGCCCTTCTCTGGACGGACTCTATCTGGTCAATGAGAGTTCCTGTGTAGGGGGACCAGACCGTGGAGCTAAACTCGAGCTGGGGCCTGACAAGTGTCTTGTATGCAGTTGACTTTAACCTTTCTGAGTGAACCTTGATGTTTCGGCGTAGAAAACCAAGTGTTTGATTTGCCTTTGTTGTGATGTTGTTTATGTGTTTGTTCCATGTTAGATCATTTGATATTGTAATGCTAAGGTATTTTGCAGATGGAACTGTTTCTAATGTGGTGTTATGTAGAAGGTATTGTGTTGGGTAGATCTATAGAATCTCATGTTCCTTTCATTACATTCATTGCTAAATTTATTAGATTATATACCTGTATGGTTTGAATTGCCTACAAACCAATTTATAATTTAGAGCTGCCACAGGATTGACAAATACCCCTACCTGATCTCTATGATGCAGGATATTATGTAATATAATTCATCAATTCATTGTTTTAGAAAGAAATAATTTGAGTTAATTTTAGTTTGAAGAAAAAGTGCAGTCTAACTTAAAAGTGCAGATACAAAATATTCAATCTTGATCTTTACAGGTGACCCTGACTGGCACAGTGGCAGGATGGGTTTTGCACAAGGTCTTGTTAAGGTGAACATTTGAGTCAAGTTTGAAGAAAATGCCTCAAGGGGAATATAATTAAAAGAACAGACACAAAGTTGTCCGATATTGGCCTTCAAGGGTGACCTTTTAGACTGCACAACAGGGGAATAAGTTTTGCACATTGCCTTGCTGAGGTGAATATTTGAACAGTTTGAAGAAATTCTTCAAGGGATATAGGAATTCTTAGAGTGAAAATAAAATTGCCTGTTATTTGACATTGAAGCTGAGCAAGGGTTCTGCACATCACCTTCTTGAGGTGAACATTTCAGCCAAGTTTTAAGAAATGATGCATTACTTTCAAGGTATATAGGATTTATAGAGCAGGCAAAATATTGTCTGGACCTTCAAGGTTAACCTTGAGCCAGCACAATGGTGACATGGGTTCTGCACATCATCTCTTTGAGGTTAACATATGAACTAAGTTTAATGAAAATCTTTAAAGGGGTATTGTACTTATTGAGCTGCCATGAAATTGTTGGATATTTGACTCTTGACCTCGAATCAGTGCTGCCATGGGTTCTGCACATCACCTTGTTAAATTAAACTGTGTTGAACAACCTTCAAAGTTTGCACAATTGCACTTATGTTTTACTCACTGGGCAATCATCATTGTAGATCATAGTTTATCAAATGGGTTATTGATTAGAGACAAAATGGTCTTTAGACTGACAAGCTTCAGCACAATGTAATTGAAGGGGAGATAATCTGTATCTCTTTATACTTCCTTGGAAAGTAGAATAACTGGATAAACAAAGTTATATCATATGCAATAATAACATGTTCCTCTCATTTATACACAATGTAATCTCCTGAACTGGTACTTGAGGTATAAAAGAAATAAATCTAAAATGAGTTCAAAGAAACAAAACAGCAAATATAAATAAATAGATCTTTTATTTGTCATTAATGACATTGCCACCATCATTTCAAATACAATTTATTTGCAATATGGCCGTTAAAATAAATAAGGCTAATAAAACAATAAACAATGTTTCTCAGGTCACTGGCTAAGATAGTAATCTAATACTCATATGATCTTATATTATAATTATTATATTATTAATTTATTATTATTGTAAGAAAATTTTTTCTAAATCTAGAAAAAGATTATCAAAGAAAAAATAAACTTAATATATCAACAAAGTAAATAAAAAAATGAATTTTAAATGGAAAATCTAAAATAAATATTTCTGTTTTTGAAACTAGAAGGTATATATTATAAAATAATACATTTATTTTGGTAGAGTGAGGATACATAATCACTAACCATTAATCTAGGAAACATTTGTTTGTAAATTGAGCCTATAATAACATAATATACCCATCACAACATTGTAATTTAATAACAATAAAAGTTTCCCTGTTTTACCATGCAAGTAAAACAAACAGGTATCAGATAATAATAATTATATGGTACCAGTAAATCTGTTCTCATCTTAAACTAGATCTACATGTACTCTTGTCTGCTACTGTATCTGTACTAATAGAAACATAATTTGGCATGGTTAGCCTATTTCTGATGTTATGCATCAATTAGCAGCATAATTCTACAATATTAAACAACCAACTAAAAGAATCACTATTATTTTGCATATGCACACACACAGAACACCAATAATTCATGATGGTACTAAAAATTACGCCATAACTTGTAACATGTCAAAAGCAATGAACTTAATCTGTTCTGAACAAAAACAATTATTTACAAGTAAACTGAACAAAGTTGGCAACAGTATATATATCCCTATCACCATTAAAAGCCGAGTAGAATCTGCCAATTATACAACACCAACACCATTTAGGCTGACAAAACTCAGTTTTAACTTCATCAAGATAACTGGTCTTAATTTTACACACACGATCATAAAATACAGCAGGGAATTTAAACAAATAGTGAAATTCCACTCAAGAGCACTACAACTTGACAAATGATATGTGAAAACAGGACTATACATGTACAATGTACATAGTTGATATTTAATAAAAAAAACGTCCAAAATAGTTCTTAAGATATGGTACAAAAGTAATATCCTAATATCAATGCATCATTCACTTTCAAATCAATGCTAGAAAACTCATCTTCGATTAAATTACATTACTGGTAAGCAAATAAAAAGGGTCAAGGACACATGAATTTAATTCCTAGATAGATATTTATAATTTAATAATCAATACCATTTATCTGTATACTGTACTGTAGATATGAACATTAAGATTTTAAGATAAAGGAATGTACAACATCGTATCACAATTATTGAACTAACTGTATATACATAATAACATAACTGTATTTACATAATAACAAAATACACAAGCATTGACTGCCATTAATAACAAAAAGGTCAATAAAAGATAACTTAAAACACATCTCACAATGCCGAACACACTGGCTGAGATATAGGTGATCATATATCTTAATAATAATGGGGGGAAAAAGTCAACATATGTACATAAATTTCGCTGTGTTAGACATAAAACAACTCTGTTACCATAGAAACCTCAATGATTATTTAAGAAAGAATCAACAAAATAAATAGTGAAAGCATTGAGGCCACATCATAAATCCAAATTACGACTTCAAAAATAAAATATTCAAACCAAAATACTTTTAAATTAATATATTATATATTTTTACACATAATTTACACATAAACAATATCAAACATTGTTTCAATGAAATGATACTGCTTTTAAATGAGGAATGCCTGCAAAAACATAAATTCTCCAAATAAGCCAATTGTAAATAAAACAAAATAAAAAACAATCTTGTCCATGAAAGATCTATAAAATCAATAAAAACAACTCCATAATACAGCAAACTTGGTATGTACATGTACTTCAAAATGCTTCATGCAAGACAACAAATAAAATTTTGAACACATAACAAAAGTATATGAGCTGCATCACGACAAAACCAACATAGTGCGTTTGCGACCAGCATGGATCCAGACCATCCTGCGCATCCGCGCAGTCTGATCAGGATCCATGCTGTTCGCTTACCAACTCTTTTAAAGTAGAGAAACTGATAGCGAACAGCATGGATCCTGATCACACTGGGCGGATGCGCAGGCTGGTCTGGATCCATGCTGATCCCAAACGCACTATGTTGGTTTTGTTGTGACTCGGCACAATTATTTACACGCCATTTTCAATGTCTTTTCTATCATGGCATTAACAATCTATTGAATCATCAATAATAATATAAATTCTTTACCTAAACTTTCCCCATATTTACAATTTAATCAAATTTTCCATTCAGACAAAATAACATAGCATATTGCATAGATTTTTGTCTTGTTTCAATCATATCCTAAACACACCTAATTTGTACTGCAGATGACAATCAGATATGCCTATTGTTATTATTATGCAAGAACTGTAATATAATATAATTACAATTCTCCCCACTACTAACTTATTAAGCACGTGTAGCTTTATTATTATGTATTTGAAAAAAGTATCATTCAGAGTCCATAACTATTAACATTAACTGAATAAATATATCCCTTTTTCCTGACATAAGCAGTGTCAATCACGAAAATTGTGACAGGTTATACCTGCTTTATCAACACAATAAATATTGTGTCTGCATAAGATAACAAAATGTTCTTAATTTTCACATATGCATATACTCTGTCCATGTATAATTATGCAAATTAATTAAGCGAATTCCCACCTCCTCATGAATATACATGTGTGATGTCATTATGTCATCAACTGTAGATCAGTTGACTCTGTGAATCTGTATTTGATACAGACAGTTGACTCTAGGTAGTTAAACATTACTCTGTCTGAGTGTGTATTATCTCTTACTGTACAGGTCTCTCACTGTAAATATACAGAAAAATGTTTAATTAATTATGCTCTAAAATGCTGATCAATGCTATATATTCTAAGTGGCGGTATGGCCAAGTGGTTAATAATATTCAGACTAGTAATCAAATGACCGCCAGACACATGGGTTCAAACCCCGTCCGGGGCAAGTCGTTTCCTGTAGCAAGAAACTTTACACTCATTGCTCAGTACTGGTTGGTTCCAGGATCAGATTCGAAAGTGTGTTTATAAGCTTATAGCTTCCTACACAATCGAACTAAAATAAGAACTGTATAAACCAATTCTTTGAATTAAACTGCATAGTACTGCAACTTATGTTTGGTAGATACTTTAATATCTGTAATTTTGGAGAAGCATCTCCTATGATCTATATTTCAGTGACATCTTCACATGCATTTAATGATCCAAGTACAATGTATTATGAAAGGCAGCAATATTTGTAACTAAGCAATATTTGTAACTTCTACGCATGTTGCTGTCAGTGAATAATGATATACAATGATATATAATGATATATAAGTATGACAAAAAATAAAATTTCCCATATTAAGCTTAATAAGTAGACTGCAAGTTCAAAAGAATGTCAATAAGCATTTTGTTTTTCAACAAATTATTATCATGTTATCTATCAAAATTAAAACAAAACAGACCCTCTATAGTTGTCTATACTTACACATGGGTAGGTGGACCTGCCCTGAAAATATAAATGAGAGAAAATAAATATACATTACTGAAAAAAATAGGCATTTCTCCTATTTCTCCTACATTAGCTTATGATTCATAATAAAGATCTACCACTAGCATGTAGCAACTGGGTAAATACAGAAGTTTCAAATCTTCACATAAGCTGCAACCACTATCTAATTTGTTATCATGATATCATAGCATTTTATTTTTATTTTCTACCTGTTTTTTATCAAATATATATCAAAAGCTGTCATATGAACTGGGCACTTGATTTCTGTCAGTGGTTGATAATAGGGGTCATGTAGAAAATTTTGTGGTCTATCATGATCTCATAGATATGTAGAAAGCCGCAAGTGAAAACATTTCGAGGATGTGAAGATAAAACTTGCATAAAACATTAACTAAGTGATAAACTAGAGTCATGACTGAGTGAGTAGAAGAACCACAATCATTTAGCTAAATTAAACAATATTTTCTCTATATCATATATACATGTATATATCATACATTGGTGTTGTATATGTATCTATTAATGAGAACTTACGTTTGTAAACTCATCCATCTTTGTAATCGTCCAAGATAGCTACTGTTAGCATCCCTCACTGAAATTATTATATTACAAATGTTTATTTGAAATGTCTTACAGAAAAGACAATTTTTGATATATATATGTGCGAGTTATTGATAACAGTTATTGACATCGACTTTGCAAGTGTCTATGCTAACATTGCAAATATATGCATAATGTTCAAGATAAATCAACATCTGAGAGACATTTAGCAGTCCATGTTTAGTAAAATTTACAAATATGTAAAATAACATCAATAGGTAAATTGAAGCTAGTACATGTTGTTACTAATAAATTTATAAATTTGTCAATTTCTTTAACATATGTACAACATCAACAATAATTTTCTTTAAATTTGAGTCAAGAAACTATCCCAAATAATTTTGGCAAGCAGAGTTACAGAGATAGCCAAGTTATATATACTGTACTTACTAAGTTGTAAATCTGTCACTCTGCCTACAGGATCCTCATTCTCACCTCTATCTAGCTGCAGTAACTGTAAAATATATCATAAAACTCTGAGATATAACCTTGTCAACAACATCTGATAATACATCCATTTTTGGAAATGTCCATTATCAATTTTGACAATATTAAGATGAAACTTTAGTAAGCCAACAGTGTAGAGCCTGGTCAGACTGTATAGATAAGCAGCCTGACCTAACTGGTTATAAGGCTAATAGTTAATTTACTCTCCAAATCTTGAAAATCTTTAAACAGTTTATTACAGACTAATAAATAAAGATATGTTCCCATTATTCAACAGACACTTTATGTGAGCAGTTAGTTAATATAGTTATTTACATTAAATTACCACACAAGAAGAACCAACACAACAATACAATAAAATGTTAATAACAATATCACACCTGTCAGGAAATATGAAATGTTAAAGACGAACTTACCTCAGCCTCCCCCAGTCTATCTTGTAATGTTATTTCTAGAACTTGTTCTAACTGACGAGTTTTATGCTCTAGTTCAGCGTTTGTCTGTTTCAACTTCTGCTGCTCATTTACTGTAGCTTCCAATCTGATGTAACAAAAATGTGATAAATTATTAATATCTACCATATATTTATATATATCTGGTAATCAATTCAATCTATGTTGTTTAGTAAAACAAATTATGTACAAGTAGTGATAAACTGCTACTGTTAAGAATCAATACGTTTTTTATGGGTGGGTGTGGGGGACTTAAGTCACATAAACACTTTTTAAAAGTTTAAATGGTGACTTCCTAGCTTTACTGGTGGAGGAAGACTTCAAGTTCTTCTCCGTGCACAATTTCAAGCAGGAGCAAGAACCAGAGTAAAGCCACCAATGCATCCTAAGCTAGCAAGATAGCTGCCTATAATCCAAAGCCCTTTGCTGGATTTCAACCCAGAGCAGTGACAGCAGTTTCAAGTCAACAACTTTAACCACTCGGCTAGGCACTTTTAAATATCAATACAAAAAGATAGAAGCACTTTCCTAAATACCTTCAGCACCATTGAAAACTACCCTTACACAATCATCTAAGTCGTAGTAAGATTTTTTGACAACTTGATTTCTTTTTACATATAGTCTCTTCAATTGTATATATTCAGAAAATAAAGTTTTGAATCTTATGTTATATAATTATGTGCTTCATGTCCTTTAACCAGGTTAATTAACACTTATCACCACATTTTAAAATGACACGTTTTGATGATAATTCTTTTAAACTTCTTAAATACAGACCTTCTTCTTTATGTTTATTCATATCTGCAACTATCATACCTTTTCTTTAAATATAACTAGAGCTATCACTGAAGGTGATTAATACCCCCACAAGCAACCATTACGTTTGAAAAATAAGTGGTGTGAACAATAGTTTGAAGTTGAACTATCATTTATGAAGATTAAAATGAGTACAAAGAATTGCAACATCAACCAGGTCTTCAAGAAAGCTTGCTTTATCTCATTCCTAGCTCAAGTTATCGTCCGGAAACCATTTTTCTATTTTTAGTAACGGTGACCTAGTCTTTGACCCCAGGGGGTCCATATGCAATACCAACCCAGGTATTCATACAAGCTTGCTGTACACCAAGTTTGATTGGAATATCTCATTCCTAGCTCAAGTTATCGTCCGGAAACCATTTTTCTATTTTTAGTAACGGTGACCTAGTCTTTGACCCCAGGGTGTCCATATGCAATACCAACCCAGGTATTCATACAAGCTTGCTGTACACCAAGTTTGATTGGAATATCTCATTCCTAGCTCAAGTTATCGTCCGGAAACCATTTTTCTATTTTTAGTAACGGTGACCTAGTCTTTGACCCCAGGGGGTCCATATGCAATACCAACCCAGGTATTCATACAAGCTTGCTGTACACCAAGTTTGATTGGAATATCTCATTCCTAGCTCAAGTTATCGTCCGGAAACCATGAAGGTGGACCGACCGACGGACGGACCGACCGACCGACAAGCTGACTCCTATATACCCCCCCTAAACTTTGTTTGTGGGGGTATAATAATTTAAACTTAGAGAATGGCAAAAATACAAAGCTTTCTATATCACAGATCTCCGTCTTTCATGTTCATTATATAAATCCTTAAAGATATACACATCATTTTTCAACCATCATACCTCTTCTTTAGTTCATGTGACCTTGAAGGTTGACCTTCTACAGGTGTAACTGACCCAGATGAAGGGGCAGGAGATCTCTGGATAAAATCTACAATAACTCTCTTCTCCAGCTCTGCAGTCTACAATACAAACATACACTACTATAAACTACATGTACATTTTGCTTTTGTGCTCTCTCATTAAAATAATTTAAGTACTAAAAATTTCTATCATTCCAACTATTAAAATGTAAGTTTTCAATATTGACATTTATATTTAAGAGATAATATATCCCAAACAGTGATATTATTACTCAAAAAAATCACTGTTTGGTGTTCAGATGCGAGTGATTTTTTCAAGCGATAAAATCACAGATTTGGATATATTATTTAGATTCTAACACAACATCAACAAATAAATGTGTGCGTGCCCGATATTAAGCTAAATTGCGTATTATTTCCGTACTTATTTTCAGCGTGTTGCATTTTTAGTTGTTACTTCACATGTATAATGATTACGTCACATGTCTAAATATAGAATGTCAACAGTAATTTTATTGCATCATAACACACACTTTGGGTTCTTCTATATTCAATATAGGGGAAAAATGCAAGTTGTGTTAGAATTTCATATAACATTTGACATCATATCAATACAAAGTCATTATACTAATTGTTTCTGTACATACCTTAGCTTGTAAAGCAGTGTATGACTGGTATAGATTCCTGTACTGTTGTTGTACAAAGGGTAATTCTTGCTCCTTTTCACGTAATGATTTAGACAGGTTACCAAGTTGTACATTCAAGAAACTTCTATCCTCCGCCAACTGACTCATCTGAACAATGACAATCAACACAATTTTACAAACATTTATGCCACTGATAGGCTTCTTACCTCACAGCAACTAAGAAGGTTTTAAAATTATAAAGTAAAACAAGGTGTGGAAATTGTTAGATGTAACATAACTGTCACAGCAACAATGATATAATTATGTGTTTTGATTTAATTATTGCTCATATGGCAAATTAAAACACAAAAGTTGAGAACTGTAAAAGCATTATTTCCAAAACAATGACAGACACTATGTCAAACCAACAACTTTGTGAAGGTTAAAATTTTCAAAATGTTTACTATTATTAAATAATAAATATTTGACTTATCACATACCTGTGAGGCCAACTGTTGACATCTTGCATCTCTCTGTGCCAAGCTTTTCCTCGCCATGTTCAACTCTGTCTGAAGCTTGTTCTTCTGTTGCATTGCAGCAGAGAACTGTTGTTGCAGCTTAGAGTAGTCACTGTGGAAATGTGCAGACTGGTTATCAGCTCCTAATGCATCTTGATGAGCTTTTAATGAGTCTCTTTCAAACTGTATATGTTGTATGGAGTGTTCTAGATTGGTCTTACTGTCTGTCAGCTCGGAACACTGATGCCTCAAGTTCGCACATTCTGTCTCAAGCTGTTCTATCCGGTTTGATAAAACATTCTTAGACTTCTGTAGATGGTCTTTCTCATGGTCCTCTAGGTCTTGGTTTTTAATTGAATATTCTTTCAACTTGGAATGGAGTTCTTCAATCTGTTTGGCAAGACCACTATTGTCAGTTATAACTTTGTTGTATTCATCATTTAAAGATTCATATTCTTCCTTTAATAGTTCAAATTTTTGTAGTTGTTTATTATTCTTGTCAGCTTGCTTCTTTAATGCAGCATTATCAACTTTTGTACTCTCAAGTTCAGATTTCACATTTTTAAGACTTTCTTGTAAAACATTAATCCTATCAATAGCAGCATTCTGTTGAAGATCAATTTGCTGCTTTAAATCATCCATAACAGATTCTTTTTCTTGTATTTCTGAGACAGATTTCTGAAGCCTTGAGTCTACCTCATCTAACATCTTAGTTTTTGATTCTAACACTACTGTATTATCTTTAATTTGTTTAATTTCAGTATTTAAATCATCAATTATTGATTTAGATTTAAGTATTTCATTCTCAAGATCTTTATGATTCTTTTGTAGGATTTCTCTTTCCCTCTTTTCAGTTTGAAGTTCATCATTCAATAATTTATTTTCTGTTTCTAATTTTTCAATTGTGTTTTCCTTATCTCGTATTTCAACATTAAGATCATCTACAAATGACTTTGTTTTCAGTAACTCATTTTGAAAGTCTTTCTCTTTTTCATCCTTTTCTTTCCTCAATGCCTCTAATTCTTCTTCAAATGCACTCATCTCATCTAATTTCCATTTCAAACTCTCAATTTCATTTTTCTGTGATTCAAATTCAGATTGCAACGCATTCATATTTTCTATCACTTTATTTCTCTCTGTAACAGCATCTGTCATTTCCTTCTTAGCTTGAATCATATCTTCACGCAGACCATCCATTTCCTCCTCTAAATAACCCTTCTCTGTTTCAGCTTCAGCAATCTCCTTTTCCAAATTTTGAATTTTCTTCAAGCTGTTTTGACTTTCTTGCATCTCAATTTCTAGTTTCTCTATTTTCATTTTCTGTCTTATGTTTTCCTGTTTTAGATCATTATTGGTGCTTGTTGCTTTCTGAACGAGAGTCTGGAAGTGCTCATTATCTTTTTCTAACATTTGATATTGCTCTTTAAAATCAACAAGTTTACGTTCTGCAATTTCTTCCCTGTGTTTAATTTCTTCAACAAGTAACTCAGATTGTTGAAATTTTTGTTTCAAATCTGACACAACATGATCTTGTTCCGTTGATTTAGTTTTATCTCCAAACATCTGGGAAACAAGATTTTCAATTTGCTCTTCCAGTCCTTCCTTTTCTGATGTTAAATTTTCAATAGAATCATTAGCTTCATCCAATGATGATTGTAAACTATCTATTTCCTCCAGCAACTCTATGTTTCTATTCTGTGCTTGTATATTTTCCATTTTCAGTTTGCTTATATGTTTATCTGTTTCACTTTTTATATTTTGACAATCTTGCAATAACTTAATTTTCTCTTTAGCTGCTTCATCAACAGTGTTTTGTAAATCCTGTAACTTTGTTTCTAAACTTTCTTTTTCTTTCTTCAATCCCTGATTCAACATTTGCACCTGCTGATTTGCTTCCACCATTTCATTGTTTTCTTTCTCAAAATCACCGAGCTGATTTTGCAAAATATCATATTTGTGTTTAAGGTGATCATTTTCAGATTTCAAAGCTCTTTCACTTGCCGAACTTTGTTGCTTTAATTCAGCAATTTCAGCTTGGTGATTATCATTTCTTTCTTTGAATGTTTTCAATTTTGATAGTAGTTTTTCGAATTTGGCTTGTAATGTATCATGTGACTGTTTATTTATCTCTCTCTCCTGATCAGCCTCACGAAGCTTTGCCTGCAAAGCATCTATTTCTCTCTTTAGATGATCAACCTGTGATCCAGCAACATCAATGTTCTGTGCTTCTGGAGCAACCTGTAAACTGTCAATTGATTCTGAAACCATGGCCTCTTGATCTGGAAGAACTGGTGTAGCCTGTGCAATAGGCTGTAAACTTTGTGTTGAGGCAGACTGCCTATGGATTTCTTCTCGAACAGTTACACCTTCTTCCCAGGCATTATCACTATGCTCTCTTAAATCTGTCCTATTATGATCCATACTCTCCAATATTCTTAAGCGCTCAACAAGAGTGGTATTTTCTTCAGCCAATTTACTATAATCAATATTTAAGATCTGAAACTTATTCTGAACCAAGTCATGTTCAGATTTCAATTCATCAAAAAGATTCTTGGTATCTGTCATTTCATTTGTAACAGCAGATAAACTTTCTCGCATTTCAGAATTCATAGATTTTAGAGCCTCAAGTTGCAGGTTAAGTTCATCTTTTTCTTTCTGTAAGTTTACCAAGGTCAAAGAAAGCTCTGATAATTTTCCATCAATTTCAGCATTATTGGTAGCCACAGACTCATTCTTTTCTGTTTCATACTTCTCAAAATTCAGTTTAAGAGATTCATTTTCATCTTGCAATTCACTCAAATCATCAAACAGACTCTGCTTTTCTTGTTTTAAATTTTCAAACGATTCTTGAATATCTTCAAGCTGTGACAACAATTCCTGATTTGTTTGAATGAGTTGTGCATTTTGAAGCTGAAGAGATGCAACATCTTCTGATGTCTCACTCTGTAAATCCATTTTCTCTGTTTGTTTCATGTTACAATTTTCTTTTTCTAACTGTAATTCTTCAAGTTTATCATTTTTATCAGATAATTCTTTCTCAATAGATGACATAGCTTCTCTAAATTGATTTAATTCCTCACATTGATTTGAATATTTCAACTGCAACTCTGATCTGTCAGTATGTAAATCTTTAATTTCATTATCTTTCATTTCGATACATCCTTTTAAAATAGCTTCATTAGCTAGCAAAGATGCCACACTTTCTCGCATCTTTACATTCTCAGAGAGAGCATCATTTCTCTCACTAAGCATATTTTCATGTTGGGTTACATCGGATCTTAATTCTGTAACTGTTTCATTTAACTTTTTCAGTTCATTATCCTTTGACTGAAGTTCACTGTCTTTAGTGGTGACTTGGTTTTCAAGAGTTTGAAGTTGCCCTGTCAATGAAGCAAGTTTTTCACCTGCATCTTCAAATTCTGATGAATGTCTTTTCAATTCCAATATTTCATCTTCCCTTTGAGATAAAATTGATTTACACTGATCTAATTCTGTTGCTGAATTCAGTAGATCACTCTGTAATGATTTAAACAATTCAGTTCTTTCCTCTTTTTCTTTTTCAAGAGTATTTACAGCTGCTCTAAACTCTTCTATTTCAGACAGTTTTGTCAGTAAATCTGTGTTCAAACGTTCTGTCATTTCTTTCTGACTGGTTAGCTCTGTTTCCAATTTATTGTTCATAAATTCCTGGTCTTGATTTAAGTCATTCAAATCTTGAATATTTTGTGCTAACTGATCTAGTTTGTTATCTTTCTCTGACAGAACTGTTCTTAGACCTTCTATTTCTTCAGCAGTAGTTTTATGTTGTTTTAATTCATTATCTCTAGAAATAATCTCCTCATCCATCTTAGCTAAAATTTTCTTCTGCTCTGCATATTCAGCTTCTAGAGCTTCGTATTTTCTCTGTATCTCTATCAGAATTTCTGCTTTCTGATTTTCGTTATCTTCAAGATTTTGTTTGTACTGATCTCTAAGTTCTATGTTAGATTTAAGTTCTGTTTGAAGCATCTGTATTGTGTTTTCATATGATGAATTTTGTTCCAATAGTTCATCAAACTGCTGTCTCATTTCATTGATTTCACCGTCCTTTTTCTGAATCTCTACATTGAGCTTTTCCATCTGGTCTTTACTTTCCCGTAGATGACTTTCAGTTTCTGACAGCCTTTGTGTTAATTCCTCACTTGGGTTAGCAGTGACCGAGTTTCTGTAACTGTTAAATGATTCTGTAATTGATTTAATTTCATTTTGCAATAATTCATTCATCTGACCTTTTTCTTCTAACATGGAGCTACTGTGCTTGACTGTCTGTCTCAGCTCTTCTGTTTCGTGTCCAATTTGACTAAGAATCTCTTCTTTTTCCTTTAAATTTTTCTTCAATAACTCTTTCTCTCTATTAAGCTCAGCAAAGTTATCCTCCATTTGTTTTACAGTCTTCTCTGATGTGTGCTGTGTTTCAGTGAGACTTTGTATCTGTTCTTGCAATTGTTGAGAAAATTCTGCATACGTCTGGCATTGAGACTGTAAATCCTGGATAATCTTTAGAGTTTTCTCTGCTTCCTCTTTGGATTCCTTTACCTGTTCTGTTTCCCCATTAGCAACCAATTGTTCTTTTGCAACTTCATTTTGAATATCTCTGCTATCAGCAGTGTTCTTACTTTCAGCATAATCCTTCTCGAGAGTTTCTTTCTCAGTTTTAACTTTTTCTAATTCAGACCTGGTTTGATTCAACTGTAATTTGATCTTCTTTGCTGTAGCCAAAGCTTTAGTAAACTTTAATTCTTTTTCGGAAACTGACTTTTTCAGTTCTTCAATCTCTGCTTGAAGAGCCAGTTTTCCTGAGTTATCATCACTTTCAGCAGTTTGGTCCTCTGACGAGAGCTGTGTAAGTCTCTCTTCCATTTCTTGCATGTTCTCCAACAAGAAGGCAACCTTCTCATCTTTCTGACTTAACTTATGCTTAGCTTCTGCAAGGGCGTGTTCCAGTTCTGAGAGTTTCATGGTCAATTCAGCATTGGTTGTTTTATATGCATTAATTTCCTCCTGGAGTGGTTTTAACTCTTCTGTGCCTTTTTCAACTTCCTGAACAGCAAATTCCTGCAAAGATAAAAAAGCCATTATAACTCTAGCATAACAAAATCATTGAAATAGTCTAAAGATATATTATACTACATTTTGCTTTTAATTTTACATAAATATACTTGATATCAATATTAAAATAGCTAAAGTAACAAACATTTTTGGTATTTTTATGAATATATTTGATATGAAAGACTTTCAATATCAATAACTTTGTAAAACAATCCTCTTTTATGCATGCACATCATATAAAATCATAAAAAAAATCCTCTAGCTTAGCTCAATAGTGAGAGCATCAGATCTGTTAACTAGAGGTAGCTTGTTCGACCCTCAGGCAAGGCATATAAGTCATTGAATTTTATGGTCATTTGTCTCACCAATCATATAGAAATCATACGGGATCACTAGTGTGTTATGTGCAGAGAAATAAGTAACTACTGGTTAATGATGCAAGAAAGCCAGTTAGGTGGACCACCAAGATATGACAAAAAAATGTAAAATCAATACAAAAGACAAACAAATAAATAAAATATCCATTATAATCATCAAATATTTTTTTCATTGTGAATTTCTTGGTAAACTCAACTACAAACACATGTGTATAATTTATGCAAATAATTATAATTACATAAAAGGTAAAATTTGGAAAACTGTGTAGCCATTTAGCACATTTTCAAGCAAAGCTGTAATTTGTTGGAATTTTTTTTATAACTTGTGCTAAACCAAAAATCAGGCTGCAGACACATACTACACTTGAATGTTTTCTAGTAACAATGAAACAAAAGCTGGGATAAAATTCACAAAGGGAAATAATGAAGTGAATAATTAAGTTAAAATCCAAGCTAAATTCTGGGTCCTGGCAAATTACCTATAATTTTTTAAGTTCCCAGTGGTTTTGGAGTTTTCTTTAACTTGCAATAAAAATCTTCACCAAAATGTTTTTCAATCAATCAATTAATCAAGATAGAATGAGATGTGTTCATGTTTAGAAGAAGTCAGTAACTACAGCTAGTCTAAGAATGGTCTAAGTCTTTCATATTTATAACATTATTTATTTTCAATTTCCTTTTTGTTATGAACTTATTTTTCCATTTCAGAATTCCATTTCTGAGTTATACAAACTAAAACATTTTCAGCTGGAAAAAAAACAACACTTGACATAGAAATATTTTGTCTTCCATTAAAATGCCACTAAAAATCATTTGCTGCACCATCTAATGGTGGGTTAATGATAGTTTTTAATATCTTATTTGTCCTATTGCTTGACTCAAAATGACCTTAAAACTTTTGCGCATTTTAGAGTACAAAACTCATTACATAAAAATAAATAGCCTACAAAGTAAAACTGTGAGTTTCACATAGTGGTGAGAAATCTAGAATACAATACATGATTAGTTCTAAGGTTACTTATTATATAAAGTTAGATTGTTAGCATAACCTGTGTTCCTGTTATATATATACTAAGTCTAGCAACAAACTCCTCGATCAACAATTACATTCTCTATATGGAAAGGTTGTGTGGGGAAGCAAAATCTCAAAAAATTAAACAAGACATGCCAACGGGCAGAATGTCGAGCCCACTTCTTATTCAAACCTGAACCTATAAACTTCAGATCATGGAGAAAGATGTATACTTAGGTAAGATGTGCCCAACACAAGGCAAAATCTTGACATTGCATCATCTAAGGTGACCTTGACTTCTGACCCGGTGACCTGGTTCATGTGCATGAAACAAAGTCTCATGATGAAAATTTGTGTCTTAAAATAACTCAATTCATGCTATTTGAAAATTCAACCATGCACAAAGAAGTTCTGGCATGGACAAGATTGGATGCACACACAAACACAAAACAGCAATTTTGACAACTGTCGAGCTCAGCGCAAGCGGGCTCCACAAAAGTCCTCTGACCACTAAGCATAATATTTCAAAGCATAAGCAAGATACAGTGGGGAGAAACAAATTTTGACATTTTTATTTGGCCTCTTGTGCCCTTGACCTTCATTTTGCCCAAGACATCTCAACTACCCATGGAAAACATTTTAAGTTATATTAAAATCCATCCATGTATTTAGAAGTTCTACTCCTAAATGAATGTTTTATTTTTTATTTGACCTGTGACCCCTGTGACCTTCAACGTTCCATAGACACCTGCATTTTTTGCGCGATTCTCCGCCTCACTATAGAGAATATTTGCCCCAAGTTGTATTAAAATCCCTCCACCCATGTAGAAGTTACACTCCGTACACGGCTTTTGTGCTGACCTCTAAGTGTGACCTTGACCTTTTGGCAGTGAACCTGGATTTTGTGTGCAACACCCCTCCATCATAGTGAACATTTGTACCAAATTATTTTGTAATCCTTCAAAGAATGAGCAAGAAATTGACCGGACAAAATTTCAATATTTTTATTGGACCTCTTGTGACATTGACCTTCATTTTACTTGAGGCAACTCAAGTCAACATGGAAAACATTTGTGCTAAGTGATATTAAAATCCATCCATGTATGTAAAGTTGTACTCGCAAATGAATTTTTTTGTTATTTGACCACTAAGTGTGGCCTTGACCTTTCCCACAGATACCTGAATTTTTCGCGCGACACTCCACCTCTCTATGGAGAATATTTGTCCAAAGTTATATTAAATTCCACCATGCATGTAGAAGTTATGCTCCGTACACATGTTTTGCGATGACCCTAAAGTGTGACCTTGACCTTTAAGCAGCAGACCTGGATTTTTTGTGTGACACACCACCCCATTATGGTGAACATTTGTACCAAATGAACAGTAAATGTGGTTTACAATTATCGGTATTTTAACAATTAATCATGTGATGGTATGACTTATCAATTGTCTTGAATACAATACATGAACTAATTAAGACTATTACACTCACTTCGCCATTCTACTTCAAACTTCAAATAAATATTCCTTATTTTCAATCTCATCATATATGCCAAGGTTCATTAGACTAGCATAAATATTTCCAGAATTATTCTCCTTAAAAAATTAATTCACCGGGGCAGATATGACCAATTAATAAACAATACTAGACATTTTCAGATAATGTATGAAATAGGGCATTTATCCTTTATTTCCTATAGTGCATTCACCAGCACATTCATTTTAGCGCAACTTTTTTCAAAGAAATTGGTAATTAATCAATTGATTATCTTCATACTCGAACAAAACAACCTTTTGGACAAGACCTTCTTAAGAGATTGAGCTGACCTTGACCTTTAATTGACATTGAACGTTAAGTCAAGTTATTGAATTTTGTTGCCATAATTTTGTTATTTATGTATGGATTTGATTCATACAACACTTGTGACCAAATGGACATGTTGAATAATTTAGATATAAAAGACCTTGACAGTCAAGGTCAGATGATTGAATATTGCTTATATTTTCATAACTTTGACATTTATTTATGAAAGTGATTCATACTTGGACAAACAACAAGTGTGACTAGACAGACCTATTTAAAGAAAATAATAAAAGGAAAAACTTAATTCTTTTTCTTTAATTTTCTTTTTAAAGATTTATTTAAACTGTAAATTTGTTTGCTTTTAGAAAAAGTCAAAAAAAGTCTGGCCTTGCCCCCACCCGGCTGTGGCTCTTTTACTTTTATTGAACAATCCTGTGAAATGAAGATAATCCATTTATTCCTTTGAAAAATGTTGCGCTAAAAATGAATGTATTTTATTGCCAAAAGTCTAACTTGTTTCTTTTTCCTAAATAGCGACTGTAGAAGCATGGAGATAAAGAAAACTAATTTTCCAGTCCAAATTAAAAACAGCATACTTCAAAATGAAAAAATGCTTCACAAAATGCAAGTCACACTGCCAAAAGAACGACAAGCCAACATGCTAGACCACTTGCAAAGTGAGAGTAGTATAACATTTCACATGCAATAAACAAGACTAATATAAACATAGCAGTATCTAGCAGCTTACATAAACAATATTAGTAAATCAATCACATAGATACAATTACAAAACAACATGCAAAATGCTCTGATTATTATAATACACTACATGATTACACAAGTTAATCTATATGCAACATGCAATATGCACTGATGTACCTTGACATAAGCTGCTTTCTGACCAGTGTCTTTTCCTGGTGTCTCACTGTCCATTTCCACAGAGTCTGGCATACTTTGTTCTAACTTCGGTGCTGATGAAGCAGTAAGCATTTCATTTACCTCTAAACTTACTGGTTTTTCCAGATCTGTAGTTTGTAAATGTGCAATAGTTTTATTAAGCACTTCTATCTCATTAACCTTTTCATTTATGACTTCATCTTTCAAAGCAATATTCTCTGTGTACACTTTCACTGATGAAGCTCGTTCTTCTTCTAATATTGAAATTTGTCTTTCAAAGTCTTTAAATCTTTCAGAATACATTTCTTCTGTGGCTTGTTGCTGAGCATGAAGCTGATCCTTGTACAATGAAAGCTCCTCTTGCAAATTTGTACACTGTTTCTTATATTGTGAAACTTCACCAGACATGTTATTTACAGTTTCTTTTAAAGATGATATCAATTGGTCTTTCTCCTCACACATATCTTTAAGTTTTGTACAAGCTTCCCTTTTAGACTCCAGTTCTCTTGCCATTATTTCAGCATTATCTTCATTTGATTCTAATTTGTCTTCAATTGATTTCATAGACTCATCTAATGACCTTACAGAGTCTTTAGTTTGTTCTAGTTCTTCTCTTAAGTAGGTCTTTTCCTGCTCAAGCTCATTTGACTCCAATTCCAGTTTATGGCTATATTCTTCCTTTTGCTGCAGTCTATGACGAAGCTCGGTCAAATCTCTTTTATATGTATCAACTTCTATTTGCAATGATTCACTTCTTTCAATAATCTCATCCAATTTGTCTCTATCAGCCGCAAATTGTCTTAGTTCATCAGCAGCTTTTCTTAAGTCTCTTTCTTTCTGTTCAAGATTCATTTCTAGATCAAGTTTCTCTGAGACAAGTTGGTTCATTTGCTCATACAATGATTGGATCTCTTCTTTCTCATTCTTAAGTAATTCTTCAAATCTTTGCTTTTCCGATTCTGCTCCCTGTCCTGACTGTTGAAGAACTGCATTTGTCTTATTTAAGTCATCAACTTCTATCATTTTTTCTTTCATTATTTGTTTAATGTTATGCAACTCTTCGTCCTTTGCTTTCATAATATTTTCCGACTCTGTGTTTTGATGAAGAAGCACTTTATATTTTTCACTTAATTCAGAGTTTGTATATTGCATGTGACTAACTTCATCTTGCAATGTTCGAACTGTTAATTTTAAATTTTCTTCTGTATCAAAAGCTTGTTCTTTAAGATTTTCAAAAGCTGATTTGTAATTTACTAGTGCATTATTCAACTGTTCAACTTCAGATCTCCCATCTACAAGCTTGTTCTGCAAAGTTTGAAGATGTTCACGGAGTTCAGAAACTTCATTTCTGTAAGATTCTTCTAAAGAGATTGGAACGTTCCTTGCACTCTCTAGTTCTTCTTTCAACATCTGGCAACTGTTCTTTAACTCATCAACTTCTAATATATATCTTTCACGATCTTGTTGAGTTTCAATCAAAGTTGTTTCTAACTGTTGTACTTTTACATTAAATGCAACATTTTGACTCTCTGCCTTTTCTATTTCTTCCACTGATTGATTTGTTTGCAGTCTTTCTTCTAATTTCTTAATCTTAGCATCTTTTCCTTTACATAATTTCTTTAATTTTTTCACTTCAGCAGATAAATCAACTTCCTTTGGCAGCTTTTCCTGTGATAGTGTAACATCTTTCTCAATTACTTCAACTGGGAAAGGCTGTAAAATCTGTGATTCAATTGATGTTTCATTAACAGCTTGGACATTGTCAGCTTCAGTTGCATTTAAGTTACTTATAGCAGCACCTTGTACCTGACAAGCAGTTCTAGCAATTTCTTCAACAATGAAAGGTGCTTCCTTAACTGCAATAGGCTGCTCTGCATTTGCTCTTTGAGATTTTAGTTCCTGTATGTCATTTTCTAGCGATGAAATTGTTGACTTCAGCTCTTCATTTAACTCTGATAGATTTATGATTTGTACATTCATTTTCTGAATTTTTTCTTGGTTTTGGCTTTCAGTCTCTTGCGCTAACACCTGTGCTTTGGTCATTTCTTGGAACAAATCATTTTTTGCAGAGGTAAGATCTGATATTTCATCAGTTACCTGTTTCATTTTCAGGTCCTTTTCTTCTATAATATTTTGTAACTTTTCAACTTCTGATGATAGATTTTGTTCTCTGTGCTGAGCCTCTGATACATTCCTTTCAAATTCTGACAAGCACTGTTGATTGTTAGAGAGGATTTCTTCTTTTTTGTTCAATTCTGCCTGTAAATTTAAAACTTCTTGTTCTAGAACAGGTAACCTTGATTGTGTATCATTATGATATTGGTTAAACCAAGTCAATTGCTGATTTGAAACACTCTTTTCATTGTAAAGTTGTTCAAGCTGAGCATTGATCTGCTCTGACTGCTTCTCATAAGCCTCAATTGTTGAAGCATTAGATGCTATTGTTTCTTCAAGCGTTAATTTAAGGTTGCTTATTTCTGATTCCCTCTCTTCGCAAATTTCTTTCAACTTGGCTATCTCTGAATTGCTTGATGATATTAAGTCATCACGATTATTTTCAACTTCAGAAACATGTTTATTCTTTTCTTGGAGTTTATTTGATAATTCAGCTATTTCATTATCTTTCTCTTTACACATCTCATGCAATTTTGCCAACTCTGAGTTGTATTTTTCATTAACTTGCTCACTGGATTTTGAGTTCTCCAAAATATTATTAAGTTCTCCCTCTTTATCTGATAACTGTGTTTTAAGTTCTTCAATATTTTGGTGTGCTTCTGCATATTTCTTTCTTAAAGATGCTAAAGATTCCTCTGTGTCTTGTATTATGCTCATATTTTCTTTGAATTGTTTTTCAAATGCTTGACATTTCTGTTGAAGTGTTTGACATACTTCATCTTTCTCAGCAAGTAATTGTTTCATACTAGAAACCTCAGTCTCATAGCTTTGTAATGACTCAAGCAGTGTTGCTGTCTCAAAAGCTTGTTTTTCTCTAGCTTCTTGTTCCAATTCAACTTTTGTTGAAGTTTCCTCTAAATTAAGAATCTTATCTCTGAGAGATTCTAATTCAGCTTTTAAGTACCGAGATTCATTTTCCTTCTCTTGCAGCATACTCTGATTTGCTTCATAAGCCGTTTCAAATTCTCTACACCTATTCTCCCATGCTATAGAAATTTCCCTGATCTGATTTAAGCTTTCATTGCTTTCTGTTAAATCTTTCTTAAATTTATCAGCAACTGATCTTAATTCATTCAGTTCTTCATTTAATTTCGAATTTTCAGTCTGCTGCTTGTCAATCACCTCATCTTTCTCACTTCTTATGTTAGATAACTGGACTTCTTTGCCTTGAGACAAGGAATGTAATTCAGATATATCATCTTCCAATTTATGCACGTCATCTTTAAGTCTCTCTTCTAATGTTTGAAAATGTAAGTCCTTTTCCTGCATTTGTAATTTAAGGTTATCTAACTGCTGCTGTAAGAGTACACAATGTTCTTCTATTTCTCTTTTAGACAACATTTCTGATTGTAACTCATTATCTAAAACATGCTTCTGTCTTTCACTGTCTTCCAAACTTTGATTAAGAGTTTGCATCTGGCTTTGTAAATGTGAAACGTGAGCAGCATTATCATCTATTAAATTTTCATGTGAACTAAATGTAGCTTCCAACTTTTTGATTTTAGCATCTTTGCCTTTTCCAACTAAATGCAATTTCTTTATTTCTGCACGGTGTTCTTCCTTTTCTGTTATAACAGATTGTAATTGTTCCTTCAAATGAGAAATTTCAGTTTCTTTAACCTCAAGGGTGGCTTTCATCTTATCAAGTTCTAACATTAAACTGTCCCTTTGCCTTTCCATTTCATCTCTTTCAATGCATAGATTCTCAATTTCTTCTCTACTTGCAGCAAGGTTATCTTCAAGTCTATCTAAATCATCATTTTTCCTGTCAATGGCTTCATCAGCTGCATCAAGTCTATCTTCTATGTCATGACAATGGTCCCGCCATTCATCAACATCAGCAATAGCATTGTCAAGCTTGAATCGAAGATCTTGCTCAACATCTTCTAGCAATACCATTTTGCTCTCTAACTCCTTGACATTTTCCTGCAGTATTAAAATATCAGTGTCTTTTTCCGACAAAACCTTCTCTTGCTCTTTAATGTACTCTTCAACCTTTTTTAATTTGGCTTCCTTGCCTTTGCTCAACTTCTGGAGTTTGGTCTTTTCCTGTGTTAGCTTTTTGTTTTCATGACTAAGATTTGCAAGTTTTTTAAACATTTCATCAGATGACATTGACGACTTTTGTGATTCTTTATCACCACTTCCATCAGGTGTATCATCCGACGGTTGAAAACTATCACTAAGCTTTCTGACTTCATGCATTTTTGCTTCTTTTTCTTGAACAATATTATCAACATCTTCACTTATTCCTTTCAATTTTAATTCCTCTTCATCAAAGCTGCTCTTAACTTTACTAAGTTCATCTTTAGCACAATCTAATTCAAACTCTAAAATTATTTTTTCTTCCATTAATTGCTTTACAAGGGATTCATTACCTTTCAGGTCTTGAATTGACATGTCTTTTTGCGAAATAACTTCTTCTAACTCTTGCACTTTTTTCTTCATTGTTTCATATCTTTCCTCCCATTGTTGAAGACTTTGTTCTACAGAAGACATTTCATTTTTCAATTTATTTTCTTCTTCATTTAATGTTTCTATTATCCTATTAAGCTGTTCTAACTGAAGATGTAAATTATTGTTTTCATCATCTTTACTGGCGATTGCATTGTCTTTTTCTACAAGTATTTCTTCCATTTTCTTTAATTTGGCTTCTTTGCCTCTATTTACTTTTTGCAATTTCATATAATCTGCATGAAGCTTTTCCTTTTCATTTTTCAATTTATCAACTATATTCTGCTCTTCAGCTAATGATTCTTCAATTTCTTTGATTTTTGAAAGCCTTTCTTCAATTTCTGCATTTTTTCGCTCAATAATTTCTTCAAAACTATGACTAATTTGATTTATTTTAGCTGTTTTGCCTTTGTCAATCATATGAAGTTTGGCTGCTTCCACCTTTAGTTTTTCATTTTCCTTACTTAAAACATTAATCTCCAGCACACTCTTATTTCCAGCAAGAGATTCACTTTTCTCCTGAAGTATGTTGTTGAGTCGCTCAATCTCCCTCTCTTTACTCTGACAGAGACTTTCAAGTTCTATAACACGAACTTCAAGCTGGACAGTGTTCGAATTATTAAAGTCACTGATGAAATTAGTACTCAAATCCTGCACTTTATTATCTAAAGTATCTCTTTCAGCTAGTAAATCATCACGTTCTTTTCTGAGTTGCTCAAAATTTTCATTCATTATCTTTAATTTTGCATCTTTTCCCTTCCCAATTTTCAAAAGCTTTTTATTGTCAGCTTTGAATTTATTCCTTTCCTCCGTAAGAACTTTTACTTTCTCTGATAAATCTTGAATATCTACACTTGTGTCTTTCTCTGAAGAAATTGATGAAAAAGAGGAATTCAGACTAGAGGTTTCTTTAGGAATGATCTGATCTATAAATGAGTCTGTTAAATTAGCATTTTCTCCAACATGTTGTAAGTACTCTAGTGCTGTCTCGTCTTTACTGTCTGGACATTCAACTGCAGAAAGAGTTTGACTTGTTGAGGATTCAATAATGTCTGATGGCATTGGAATATTAGATCTCTTTTGTAATTCCTCAATCTTTTTCAACAAGGATAATATTTTAGCTTCTTTTTTCTTCAAAAGTTTTTGATTTGAAGTAAGTTTTTGTTGCAATTGCTTTTTATCTGCTTCTAGCTGATCACAGTAATCTTTAAAGTCTGATTCTCCACTATCAAACATTTCACACAATCTGCTTTGTAAGTCTGCTATAATAACATCTTTTGCCACAAGTTCCTCTTTCAAAGACAAAACTTCACATTCAGAATCATTTTTAATATCTTCAGGAAAACTATTATCTTGTTCTAAGGTATCCTCAGAATGAACTGATTTTTCAACTACATGTACTTCAAAAGTTTCTGAATCCATACCTACATCTGCACCTTTCAGATTTTCTGATAGCTTTTCCATTTGACTTTCTAACCAAGTACTTTGAGAAGTCAAGTCTTCAATTGAAGTTTCCAGTCTTTTAACTTCATTTTCTTTCTCCTCTAATGAAAGACCAAGCTCACTTACCCTTACCTCAGAAAGCTCAAGTGTCTTCTCTGTTGACTTTATTTTCACCTCATAATCATTCACTTGCTTTTCCTTTTCTTCCATTAATTTAGACATTTCTTCAAGTTTTGATTTAAGTTGACTTATTTCATGGACAAATCTGTTATTTTCAAGATTTGATGCATCTAAGGCTCTCTGAATATCATCTTTTTCATATTGCAATTTTTCCAGTTTTTCCTCTATTTGTTCTTTTGCTTCCTGCACTAAATTTTTATCTGACTGAAATTCAGCTAGTTCAGATTTCAGTTTATTTATTTCTTTGATATAAACTTCAACAGAACCTGTAATTTTTGTATGAGCTGCTTCTAATGATGCTTTACTGTCATTTGCCTCCTTTATTTGATCACAAACAACATCTAACTGTATCTTTAAATTTGTATTTTCATCCTCAAGCTGTTTATCAAACGTAATGTTGGTCTTTAAAGCTTCCAGATCTAATTTCATTTTCTGGTTAAGGTCTTCAAGAGATTCTTTAGTCTTATTTAGGTCATCAAGCTGTTCAGTTGCATTTCTTAACTTTGCCAATATATCTTCATTTTTCCTGGAAATTAATTCTTTATCTTTGGTTAAATTTGAAAGTTGATCTTCACTTACACGTATTTTGTTTTCCGCTTCTGCCAATTTTGTCTCAAGAAGTGACATCCTTTCCTTCTCTTCCTCCAATTGGGTATTCTGCTTATCTAATGCTTCCTGCAATTATAAATGCATCTATTATATAACTTATAAAAAAACTAAAGTGATATATCATACATTTTTTTAACTATCCTTTTTCAAAACTGTATCTCTCATGTTTATAACAAATTTGTATGATTAACTTTAAGAGTGAGTTGTGAACACGCAAGACATTCATTTTAGAAAACACACAGCCTAGGCCACTTTTCTTACTTCTAGAAGCAAACATATCAGAGAGAGAGCATTGTAGTAAATGTTATAAAAGAAACAAGAGGGCCATGATGGCCCTGGGGTCGCTCACCTGAACATAGGCCCCCAGGGCCGGGCCTGTTTAAACCAAAGGGCATTTATTTCAACAAACTTGGAAGACACCCATTAGAAGATATTTCATGATGTTAAGTTTTTACTATACACAAATAATGAATAACAATGACTTTTGCCCCCCCCCCTCTCCCTGCAGGGGCCAATTTTGACCCAAGGGCTTTTATTTGAACAAACTTGGTAAACATCCATTAGAACATGTTTCATGCCCTAAATATCTTAGCTCAGCTCTTTTGGTTCTTTAATAGAAGATTTTTAACTTTTTACTCTATGTATATAGGGAAAATCAATAACCCCTGGGACAGGGCCAATTTTGACCCCAGGGCTTTTATTTGAACAAATTTGGTAGACACCCATTAGAACATGTTTCATGCTAAATATCTTAGGTCTAGCTCTTTGGGTTCTTTTTTAAAAGAATTTTTTTTTAAAGTTTTTTACTATATGCATATAGGGAAAATCAATGACCCCTGGGGCAGGGCCAATTTTGACCCAGGGGCTTTTATTTGAACAAACTTGGTAAGACACTGATAAGAAGATGTTTCATGCTTAATATCTTAGCTCTAGCTCTTTGGGTTCTTTAGAGAAGAATTTTTTTTAAGTTTTTACTATATGCATATAGGGAAAATCAATAACCCCTGGGACAGGGCCAATTTTGACCCCAGGGCTTTTATTTGAACAACTTGGTAGACATCCATAAGAACATGTTTTACGCCAAATATCTAAGCTCTCGCTCTTTGGGTTTTTTAGAAGAAGATTTTTTAAGTTTTTACCAATATGCATATAGGGAAAATCAATGACCCCCTGGGCGGGCCAATTTTGACCCCAGGGCTTTTATTTGAACAATCTTGGTAGACACTTATTAGAAGATGTTTTTATGCTTAATATCTTAGGTCTAGCTCTTTGGGTTTCTTTAAAAGAAGATTTTTTTAAAGTTTTTACTATATGCATATAGGAAAAATCAATGACCCCCTGGGGCGGGGCCAATTTTGACCCCAGGGCTTTTATTTTGAACAATCTTGGTAGACACTTTTATTAGAAGATGTCATGCTTAATATCTTAGGTCTAGCTCTTTTGGTTCTTTAAAAGACGATTTTTTTAAGTTTTTACTATATGCATATAGGGAAAATCAATGACCCCCTGGGGTGGGCCAATTTTGACCCCAGCCTTTTATTTGAACAAACTTGGTAGACATCCATTAGAACATGTTAAATGCCAAATATCTAAGCTCTAGCTCTTTGGGTTTTTTAGAAAGATGATTTTTTAAAGTTATTACTATATGCATATAAGGAAAAATCAATGACCCCCTGGGGCGGGGCCAATTTTGACCCCAGGGCTTTTATTTGAACAATCTTGGTAGACACTCATTAGAAGATGTTTCATGCTTAATATCTTAGGTCTAGCTCTTTGGGTTCTTTAAAAGAAGATTTTTTTTAAGTTTTTTACTATATGCATATAGGAAAAATCAATGACCCCCCTGGGGCGGGGCCAATTTTGACCCCAGGGCTTTTATTTGAACAATCTTGGTAGACACTCATTAGAAGATGTTTCATGCTTTAATATTTCTTTCTTAGGGGTCTAGCTCTTTGGGTTCTTTAAAGAAGATATTTTTTAAGTTTTTACTATATGCATATAGGGAAAATCAATGACCCCCTGGGGCGGGGCCAATTTTGACCCTAGGGGCTTTATTTGAACAATTTGGTAGACACTTATTAGAAGATGTTTTTATGCTTAATATCTTAGGTCTAGCTCTTTTGTTCTTTAAAAGAAGATTTTTTTAAGTTTTACTATATGCATATAGGGAAAAATCAATGACCCCCCTGGGGCGGGGCCAATTTTTGACCCCAGGGCTTTTATTTGAACAATCTTGTTAACACTTCACTAGAAGATGTTTCATACCAAATATCTAAGCTCTAGCCCTTTGGTTTTCTAGAAGAAGATGTTTAAAGTTTTTTCTTTTGGTTGCCATGGCAACCAGAGTTCTGCATGGAATGGAATTCTTTTGAAAACAACTTTTTTAAGGCTTCACACAAGGAAATCCCTGTGAAGTTTCATTATGATCTGCCTTATGGTTTCAGAGGAGATGTCGTTTGAAAAGTGTGAACGGACAACGGACGACGTACGACGGACGACGGACACCGGACGACGGACGACGGACGAAGAGTGATCCTAATAGCTCACCCTGAGCATATGCTCAGGTGAGCTAAAAATCATGAATCACTTTGTTTCCAGATTTTTGTAAAGAATTTATTTAATTATATTTGACCTTTATAGTTTAAAGTCAAGGTCATGTACAGGCCAATATCAAACTTAAATTATTCAACATATCAATGTTGTTATTTGTGTCTCGTCAAGTATACATTAAAACTGTCAATTAATAACAGTTCTGCAAACTTAAATAAAATTCAATAGCTATACCATGATGGTCAAGGACATTTAATGGTCAATGTCGACATTATATAACTCAATATGTCTGTTTTGTAATAAGTTTTGCCATAGTATGAATCAAATCAATAAATAAACAACAAAATTATCTTAATTAAAGCAATTTCAAAAGTCAATGTCACTTGAAGGTCAATGTCACATTTTCTAAATAATTTTTTGTTGTGTTTTAAGTCTCACCAACACAGTATAATTCATATGGTGACTTTGTAGCTTTATTGGTGGAGGAAGACCTCAGGTTTGTTTGTTTTTTTTGTTTGTTTGGATTTTTACGGCACGTCAACACAAAACTGGCCATATCGTGCCGAATGCTATAATAGGCTTAAAATGTTATGTTAAACTTTGTAAATGACAATAAAAATGAGTCAATTAGATCTTAGAATACAAGTTTATCTCTTTCAAATAATCAATGATGTTTTTTGAAGAGTTCTTTGAGTGAATTTACCCAATAAAATTTATTATGGGTCTGTGAAAAATCATGACATTCAAGAAGAAAATGCTTGACAGTAAAATTTTCATTACAAGCTACACAGAAAGGGGCATTGCCATTTGTGAGGAGATAAGAGTGGGTAATTTTAGTGTGTCCAATTCGGCATCGAAGAAGAACTGTTGATCATGGCGGTTTGACATAGATAGAGATGGTCACACATCAAGAGATGGGTTTATTTCGTGAAGTTTATTAAAAACGGCATTGTCCCAATTTGCTTTCCAGTTTATTTATAGCCGGTCTAAAATCACAAGCAGATAACAATAAGTCAGTTTTTTTTTTTAATTTAATGATTGTTTAGCTAAAGCATCTACTTTTTCATTTCCTTGTATACCTACATGACTTGGAATCCAATATAATTTAACAGATTATGTTTTAAGTATATCATGAAATCGTAAAAGAAGTTTCCTTATCATGATATTGTCAGAATTTTTATTTTTAATGGAGAAAGCGAGTCAGAAAATATCACAAATTTATCATGGGTATGCTGTACTATGTATGACAATGCTAAATCTATAGCTTTTGCTTAAGCAGTAAAAATTGATGCATTATCTGGTAACCTCATACTAGATGTAAAATTATTTCCAAACACAGCCGCACCTACTTTGCAACCTTCTTTTGAACTGTCGTATAAATATGTATAAAATCTTCATATTCTTCCTTAATTGCTAGAAACTTCTCATTGAAATGTTCAGGTGAATTTGATTTTTTATATTTGAAAGGTTAATATTTATTTTCGTGGAATTATAAGTCCAAGGTGGAACTTCCTCATCATCATTTTGAAGGATACTGTATGGATTAATTTTAAGTTTATCAAAATCATCTTTTAAACGAAGGCCTTATGGTTTAATTTCCTTTGGTTTGTTAACAAATTTTTCAGTATAACTTGGTTTGAAAATAATATTTTTAGCTGGATTTAGTAACAGGCTTTCCTGGATATTTACCAGCAATAACCAATTTCTCTGCAATTTTTTTTTTGCTGTTATAAGTCACACCAAAAGTGTAATGGTCATATGGGGACTTTGCAGCTTTAATACAAAATAATTGGTCTTAATAGTCAAGATCATTTATTAAACAAGGTCAAATTTAGCTTGATGATCTTTAAGGTCCTGTTCACTGTTCAAGGTTACATGTATGTCCAAGTATAGACAATCCATTAAAAAATTTTAAAAAAATATCTATTTTTAGCAACAAAAAAAATATCATAGTTAAAAATATTGACTTTCAAGTCAAGATCATTTATGAGTTAAGGTGAAATTCAATTTGGTCTCGTCCAAATATGAAGACAATCCATTAAAAAATAACCAATAGAAACATAACTGTACCTGTGTGTTTCTTTGAAAATGTGAAGTTTAAAATGGGTGAATGATTTTCTTTAAATATTTTGAACAATTTTAGAGCTCACTGTTTACATTACCATTTTCTATGCTTCATAATAATAAGAGCCATGATAATAAAGGGATTTACAAAGGGTAACATTTCATTTCAAGACCATGCCTTGCCCATGACTAAGTTTATGATATACTCAGTTAATGGCAGCTGAGAATATGTAATTAGTTACATAACATTTAATCAATTAATAGTTAAAATGATGAATCTCAGATTTATTTGAAAAAAATAATTTAACATGAGTAACCTATCAGACAGTACACCCGCACAGTCTCAGTGCCTGGTAATAAACTAACAGCCTAAAAATGAAATGTAAGAATTCTTAAGTTCCAAAGGGAAATAATTCAAACAGAATCTATGCTAGTCTTATCAGTCATGGACAGTGACCTATAACATGAAATTGAAGAAATATGAGGAGTTTCAAATGAATGCTTTCAGTGATAAAGGATATATTATTTTGTATGCAAAACATTTACAAGGTGAAAGGTCAAACTCAAACTAAGATAACTCTTGCCTCATTACTATTATTAAAGCTCAAACTTTGTCTCATGTTCACAAGATAAGAACATCGGAGATAACAATAATGGTTTAACATTACCTTTTCAAATAATTCCATTGCATGTCTTAATTCTTTGATGAGTTTTCTCTCTTTCTGGACAGCAGCACTTTCTGAAAATCCCTTTTCTATTTCTTGTTCAACAGTGTCTTGAAGAATTTGGCATTGGCTTTTTAAATCATTATTATCATTTGCTAATGAATCAATTTCATCATTTAACACAGTAACTTTGTCTTCAAAACTGGATATTTCTACCTCCTTTTCTCTCAATTCTTCCTCAGAATGTTTATTTTTTTCATTTGCTTCTCTTAACTGTTTCTCCAATGATAATTTCTCAGTATTTTCTTTGTTGCGGGTCAAGTTGTGCTTTTCTAAATGTTCATTGGTTTCAGCTATTTCACATCTATTTTGCTCTAAATTATTTTCTAACTCATTTACTAAGTTTTCATGATTTTTTATAATTGTTTTCAATTCCTCAATTTCTTTATCTTTTCTTTCAATAGTTTCTTGCATACAATTAGAACTTTGCATAAGATATTCAATTTGAATATCTTTGTCTTCAATACTTCGTGAAAATTCATCTTCTTTGAAAGCGTATTTCGTTGCCTTCTCGTGACTTTGTTCTAACTCTTTCTCTACAGTGGCTAAATTTTCTGTCAACTTTCTGACTTCTGACTCCAATTTTAAAGTACATTCAGTTTGTTCCTGCAACATAGCATTCTGTGAATCATCAGTAGTTTTCAGTTTTTCTCTTAAATTACTATTTTCCGACTCTTTTTCAGAGATGTCTTCCTTTAACCTCATCAATTCTTGTTTCATCTTTTCTATTTCATATTCTTTCTGCGTTACTCTGTTTCTTAAATCCTCTTCTGAATTTTCTAATAATTCTAAGCTTATATTCAAATTTGTAATTACTTCATCTTTTTGAATTAAACTGTCAATTAAACTGGTAAATCTGTTTTTAAGATTGCCAAATTCAAGCATCATATGTGATAAGACAGCCTTTTCTGATAATTGTTCATCTCTCAAATATGTCAATTCATTACTTAGAACATCATTTTCATTCTCTTTCATTTCAAAAAATGTTTGAATTTTATCAAACTCTGCTTTTTGTTCATCTATACAAACCAACAACCTTGTTACCTCTGTATCTTTCTGTTCAAGTTTCTCTGATAATTCTTTTGACTTGTTCAGAATTGATTCTATTCTTTCCTCACAATCTAAACTATAAATTGACATTTTTTCTGCTTTCATATTTGCATCACTTAATTTCTTTTCAAAAGTTTTTCTATCACTCTGTGCAACCTCTAAAACACTGTTCAGTTTATCATTTATATTATTCAGTTCATCTATTTCATCTTTCTGTTCTCCAATTTCTTCATCTTGTTCTTTAATTCTACTTTGCAACATGTTAATTTCTTTATTCAGTAAAACAATTTGAGATTCAGCATCTTTTAAAGTCTTGCCCATTTCAGCTACTTCTTCACCACTACTCAAAACTTTCTGTGTTAACATCTTAATTTTTTCTTCAACATTTTCCCCTTGAACTGATGATTCACAAAGACTTGCATTAAGTTTTGTTTCAACTTCTTTTAATGTGCTGTTTTCAAGAACTGTACATTTAATTTCATTTTTCAAATAGCTGATTTCTTCTTCATATTTCTCGGTCATTTCATCAAGTTGAGCTGTCAGTGAGTCCTTCTCTGTTTCTAGTCCTACAATTACAGCAAGAGATTTCACTTCTGCATTTTTCAGCTGAACCTTTAAATTATAGTTTTCTTTTGTTAAAGTATTAATCTCCTCATTTCTTTCAGACATACATAAATTCATATGTTCGAAAGACTGATGTGTTTCATTTTCTACCATGCTTACTTTTTCTTGTAATGAAATTTTCTCCTCCCTCAAAATATCCTTTTCCAAATCATTTTCTGATTTCAACTTTTCTAATTCTTTGTTCAATTCTTCCAGCTCATTTAATGTTTTCTTATATTGATCTTGTAGATTATGGGACTCACTGTTCATCATTATATTTCTTTTATCCAGATCAACTATTTTCTTGTCTTTCTCCATTAACAGCTTATCTTTACTCTCACATTGGCTCCTTATTTCAGAGACCCACTGATATTGTTCTAACAACTGTCTTTCAATGTCATCTTTCTGTATTCTTAGGGCTTCATTTTCATGTATACCTCTTGCAACATCTTTCTGAAGTGACATAACTTGTTGAGCATATTTACAATTTTCAGCATTTACACTTTCGATCTTTATGACCATTTGTTGAATTTCTTCCAAAAGAATTTGAATCTGAGTATTAAAACTGACCTCCCTGTCACTTGTTTGCAAGTACAAATTATCCATAGCTGTCTTGGTTTCAGAATGTGCATCTCTTTCATTACATAGCATTTCTTTAAAGTCACTTATTTCAACAACAATTTTTTCATTCTTAGAAGCCATATTTTCATTTTCTATTTGTAAAGCTTCAATTTGCTTTGAGTAGTCATCTATGATTGCTTTCAAATCTAATTCTTTTGTTGCTGCTTCATCTATTCTTTCTTCATACCTGTCAATGAGCCGTTCTTTTTTACTTTTAACATATTGCAGTTTGGCAAATTCACTTCCTAATGATAGGTTCGCATCAGCTAGATCAGATATTGCTTGCTCCATCACAAAAATCTGGTTATTTTTGTCATATAAATCCTCTTGTAGTTTTTCTGTAGAAGTTTTGAGTACATCAATGTCGTTGTTTGCTGTTAATAACTCTTTCGTTCTTTCACCTAGTGTAGCATTCAATTTGTTTAAATCATTTTTCACTGCTTTGGCTTCAGAATCTATTTTTTCTTTAGCTTCTTCAGCATCATTTAAGGCTTGTTGCAATTTATCTGTTTTATTTTCCAAGTCAGATATTGTTTCCCCCATATGTTTAGCTTTTTCCTCTAAAACTGATTTATCATCACACAGTATTGATATTTCTGATTCCTTGAGGCTAAATTTCTTTTCATCTTCTGACAATTTCAAAAGCAAATCTTGCTTTTCAACAGTAAGTTTTTCAATCTGAGAATTTTTATCTATACATGACTTTTCTTGGTCAGTTGCTGACATCAATAATTCATCATGTTCGTGTTGAATCATAGTATACTTGTCTTCTAAAACTGCAAACGCCTTTTCTTTCTCTTTCAAACAATCTTCACAAAACTTCAATTTGTGTTCCAGTTCATTCCTAGCTGCTTCTGTATTCTCTAAGTTTGAAGTGGCATCATCTAAAACTGTTTGCATTTCATCTTTTTGCGCATTGCTCTTATCCATTTGAGTAACAAGATCAGTGATATTTTCATTTAATATTTCCATCTTAAGATCCCTTTCTTCTTTTATTTTTGATAAATTTGCTTCTAATTCTTGTATGTTATTTGTCAGATTACTGATTTCATTATCTTTTTCTGACATTACCTGCTGTTGCTTGTTGATTGTTATGTTGAGCTTTTCAAATTCAATGATTGCATTGCTTTTTTCATATTCATTTCTATCAATTTCCTCATCTTTTGATAACAAACTTTTCCTAAGTTTATCAATTTGGCATTTCAGATTTTCATTTTCAGACTCTATTTTTTTCTTTACAGCTTCTAGATTTTCAACTTTACTTCTAACAGCAAGTAATTGCTCGGTATTTTGCTTCAATTCTTTATTTGCAATATCTGATGTATCTTGAAGGTCATTTATAGTCTCTAATTGCTGATGTGATACATTTTCTAATTCTTCAATTTTCTCTCCATATTCTTCCTTCTGTTTTTCACTTAAATTCAATTCTTGCAATTTTGAATTCAATTCTCCCTCAAGTTCATTTACTCTCAGAATTAAAGTTTGTTTCTCATTTGATATCTTATCTAAAGAATCACTTTTTTGTGATAAATCATTTTCAAGACTTTTTCTTATATCAGTTATACTTTCTAGCTGCATTTCAAAGTTCTCCAATTTTTCACGATTTTCTAATTCAAAAGCTTTTAGATTTTCAATTTCTCTGTTCTTGTTTTCAATGTCACTTTCCAAATCTTTTTCTTTTGCTTCGTGATCCTTTAACATCTTTGTATTTCTTTCTTTCTCGTCTTGAAGTTCATCAATTATATTGTTTTTTAATTCTAGGACATTTTGCATCTCTTCGTTTGCTGTCAGTGATGAAGATTTCTCTTCCTGTATCATCAGGAAGTTTTCTTTTATTTCTGTATTGTCATTTTTCAACTGTTCATTTTCTGCAATTAGTTTTTCAATTTTAACAGCTTGCTCCTTTGATAATGTTTCTAAATGAAGTTTATCTGTGGCTAAGTTTTCTATATCTAGCTGAAGAACATGCACACACTCCTCATTTTTACCTAGATAATCCTTTACTCTTACAAGTTCATCATTAAGAGATTGTACTTTTGTTTCTAAATCCTCTATAACATTATCTGCAATAAGCATTCTCTGTTTCAACTCATCTTTTTCTCCGGAAATATCTTCTACAGCCTCCTTCCAGTCACTGATCTCTTTTTCTGCACCTTGTATTTCTTTCATAAGACACTTATTTTCAGCAATCCTTTCATCTCTATCTTGATGTAACTGCTTGTTTTCTTTAAGAACTTCAACAAATTTCTCCTCATCATTTTTTACTTTCTCTTCTAATGCTGCCTTTGCACTTGCTTCCTTTGCTAATATCTTATCTTTTTGTTCCAAGTTTTCAACCAAGTCATGTGATGTGACTTTCAGAGTATTCAATTCAGACTTAATAACGCTCAATTCTTGTAACTGCTTAGACAGTAAATCATTTTTTTCCATGATATCACTTTTCAGAATTTCATTTTGTTCCTCTAATTTATGAGAAGCTACTTTCAAATTTTCTTCTCTTTTAGTTAACATTTCAATAACTTTCTGTTTCTCTTTGAGATCATCTTGTACTTTTGATAGTTCATATTCCCTTTCACCAAGTGTATCTTGCAAAGAATCAAGAATATTTTCCATTTGTGTATTTTTCTGTGTTAATGACTTTGAGATGTCATCTGATTCTAATAATTGTTTAAGCAACTCCTCATTTTTATGTTTCAAATCGACAGTTTGAGACTGCTCAGATGATAAAATCTGTTGTGTTTCATGTAAGAATTCCTTGTGTGTCTTTAATTCGGCAATTAGATTAGCTTTCTCAAGCAAGATATCATCATGCTCTTTCTTGAATATTTCTAATTTCTTACGTAAGTTATCTTGTATCCTTTCTTCATTTTCTATTTGATTTCTTAAGTCCTCTTCTTTCTGAATTGAATTTTCTTTTTCTTCTATCAACTTTTTGGCTTCAGTTTTGAGTTGAAAAATTTCACATTGCAAGTTTTCCATCTGGTTTTGAATTCTTACATTTTCTTTGGTAAGATTATGGCATTTCATTTGGAATCTTTTGCTTGTTGAGGTAATAGAGAAACATTCCTCTTCCAATTTATCATTTGAACTACAAATAAGTTCCATCTGTACCTGCAGTTCCGATATTATGCTTTGTCTTTCACAATTTTGCAAATTTAATGTCTCATTGAGAGTTTGCCCCTCTTGCAACTTTTCCTGTAACTCAAGTACTTCATCTCCCTTTCTTTCTATATCTAACGATAACAATTCAAAAACCTTTGTTTTCATCAACAAATTTTCCTCAACTATACGATTATCCTTCACAAGTCCTTCATTCAGTTTTGTTAATTCTGCAATGTTTGATTTCAAGTTGTCATTTGACTCTACTAATTCTTGTAACATTTCTGCTTTCAACTGAATTTCACTGGATTGTTCATTCACAGTTTTTGTTAATAACTCTGTTTTATTTTCAAATTCTTTTATTGTTTGACTCAACATCTCTGTGACCTTTTCATGACCAATTTTGCTCTCTTCACATTCTTCATTCAATTTCAATATTTTATCACTAGCATCTTGTATCTCACAATTCTTGTCATTTATTATCTTCTGTAATTCTGTTTGTATAGCCTCATGACAATTCAAAGTATCTTTGAGTTTTGCTTCAGATTCATGATTTTGACTCAGTGCCATTCGCAATGCGGATTCTACTGACCAAAAGCTTTCATAAGATTTACAGAGACAATCTCTCATTTCACAAAATTGGGATTCATTCAAAAGTTCCTGATCTTCTAAATGTCTGATTTTATCTTTCATAGTCAATATGTCTTTTTGCTGGTCTTTAATAAATGATTCTTTAAAATTCAACTGCCTTTCCAGTTCGTCCTTTGACTCCTTTTCTTTTAAGAGTTCATTTTCTGCACTGTCTAAACAAGTCTGAATTCTACTTATTTCTTTTTCACTATTGCTATTCTGTATAGTAAGGTCCTCCACTATCTGCCTATGTAAATATTTAGCCTGTTCGTTTTCTTTAGCAAGTTCAGAAATCATAGCTTCCTTTTCAGATAACTGATCACTGAGCTCATTTGAGAAAGACTTTGCTTTATTAATTTCAATATTAAGATTTTCAACAATATTGTGCAGATTGGAGTCAGATTCTTTCATTTTATCATCAAAGTTTTGCTTCAGAGAATCATTTTCAGATTTAAGAACATTCACTTGTTCAGATTTTTCAAGAATTTCTGCTTTCAGTAAGTCTTTTGCTGAGTTTGATTCCTTCTCAAATTCTTCAAATTTTGTTTGCAGACTCTGGTTCTCTTGTCTTAAGTTTTGAAGCTGTATGTTGTTATCCTCACAATTGTTTTCAAGTTCTTCTATACGGCAATTTTTCCTTTCATCATTTTCAGTGTATTGAACCTTTAGTTCATTTAATTCTGTGGTTAAAAGCTTTATTTCATCTTCACAACTTTCTACCTTTTTCATCCAGTGCTCTTGAATTTCGCTATCCTTCGATTCAAGCTTTTTGTTTATTTCTAATATGCTCTCCTTATGTTTTACAATTTGAGATTCCAATTTTTCAGATGTTATTTCTAGCTGAGATCTACATAATTCATGACTAGATTTAAGTTCTGCCATTTCTATTTCCTTAGCATCTTTCTCACTCTTCAATGCTTCAAAATTTGAAAATAAGGAATCATTTTCCTCTTTAAGCTTCTCTAGAATTTCACATTTTTCAGTTACATCTGTTTCTAATCTATGTTTCAGATTGTCAGACTGGATTTTAATCTGATCAAGATTTGCAAGCAAAACCAAATTCTCCTTATCCTTTTTTTCAAGCTGACATTTTAGTTCAGAAATTGTTTCCTTGTGGTAATTCATCTGTGACTCAAGTTTCTCAAAAGATTTTTCAGACTCTGATCTATACATGTCATGACAAGAGTTAAGTTCTGCAATTTCAGATTCCTTTGCATTTAAATCACTTGTCATTGTTACACATTTTGAATGTAAAGAACTGTTTTCCATTTTAAACTTTTCTAGAAGTTCACATTTTTCAATAATATTTGCTTCCAATGAGTGTTTCAGGGAATGTGATTCCTTTGTAATTTCTTCAATGTCTTTTTGAAGATCTTTGTTCCCTTGTCTTAATGTTTGAAGCTGTAAGTTGTTCTCTTCACAAACCTTTTCAAATTCCATTATTTGGCAACATTTCCTTTCATCATTTTCTATGTATTTAACCTTTTGATTGTTTAATTCTGTGGTTAGCTCTTTAACTTCATTTTCAAATCTTTCCACCTTTTTCAACCAGTGTTCTTGTATTTCCATTTCTTTCATATCAAGTTGCCTGTTTAGTTCTGAAATGCTATCCCGATAGTTACTTAATTGTGATTCAAGTGTTTCACAGGACTTTTTAGATTGAGATCTTAATAATTCATGACTAGACTGAAGTTCTTTAATTTCAGATTTTTTTGTTTCTACATCACTCTCCAATGTTTCACATTGTATTTGCAAAGAATGATTATCTGATTTTAACTTTTCCAATATTTCAGATATGTTAATATGTTCAGCTTTCAGTGTTTCTAATATTTTAGATTTTTCAGTAACATCTGCGTCTAACGTTTGTGTCTTGGAATCTGATTCTTTTTTCAATTCTTCAATGTTTATTTTCAGATCTTGGTTTTCTTGTCTGATTTTTTGAAGTTGTGTATTGCAATCTTCACATTCTTTTTCAAGTTCTTCTATTTTGCAAATGTTTGTTCTATTGTTTTCAGCAAAGAGAACCTTTTGCTCGTTCAAATCTGCTGAAAGCTGCCTTACCTCACCTTCAAAACATTCCACTCTTTTACACCAGTTCTCTTGAATATCCTTTTCCTTCATTTCAAGTTGTCTGTTTAATTCTGACACCCTTTCTTCATAACTGTTTACTTGTGATTCAAGTTTTTCTGATGATGCTTCTACCTGAGATCTATATAATTCTTGACTAGATTCAAGTTCTGCAATTTCTAATTCCTTTCTATCTAAATCACTTTTCACTGATGTCCATTTTGTACATAGAGAAGCATTTTCTACTTTAACCTCTTCTAATACTGACTGTAAATCTTTGGTTTCAGCTTCCAATATACTGACTTTGTCTCTGAGACAACTATTGTCAACCTTTGACTTTTCTAATTCATTTTGGCACAAACTTATCTGAGACAGAATCTCCTCTTTTTCTGTACAAAGATCATTGAAATGTTCACATTTTTTAGCATATTTCTCTTGAATACCCTGATTTTCATCTGAGAGAATACTGTTTCTTCTTTGTTCTTCAGCTAAATTTGTGGACAGTTCATCAATTTTAGGTGTAAGATTGTTAATCTCATTTGCTCGGTCAAGAATTTGGCTTTCTAATGATTCAATTTTGGCTTTCATATTACTAATGTCTTTCTCAAGCTCTCTTTTATCACTTGTTAATGTTTGTACTTCTGAACGTTTTGTTTCTATTTCATGCTCTAATTTCTGATTGTGTTCATGCTCTAGTGTAATTTTAGCATGCAAAGACTGGCTTACATCTTCATATTCTTTTACAATATTTTCTTTTTCAGTTAACATCCTTTTTATTTCTTCACACTGTTTACCTATGTCTTCTTCTAGACCTTGAACTTTGAGTGTTAAACTTTTAACTTTGGAATCTGCTTTTTCCATGGCAACCTGTAAATTAGAATTTTGTTCTTCAATTTTAACATGCAATAATTGTTCATTTTTTACATGCTCATCATTCAAAGTTTTTAAATTTCCTGTCAACAGAGCAATTTCTGCAATCTTTTGTTCTACTGTTTCTGATAAAGTATGAATTTGTTCCTCAAGACTGGAATTCTTTGTTATCAATGAAAGATTAGACTCAGAAAGGTCTTCTTCCTTTTGTAACCACAAACTTTTTTTAATTTCATAGTCTGCATAGAGTGCTTGATACTCTTGGTTCATTTTATTAATTTGACTTTTCTGATCTTCTATCAAAGTTATATTTGAAGCAATGTTCTCTTCCAGACTTAAACACTTGCTCGAGTTTTCTTCTAAATTGTTTTCAAGCAGTTTGATATCATCAATTCTGCAGGTCATTTCATTTACAAGTTTTAAATTGTGTTCTTTCTGTGAATTAATTTCTGACTGTAATTGTTCAATTGCTTTAGACTTGGCCTCCAGTTCACTTTCAATTTCTTTTATTATACTAATCTTACTTTCCTCTGTTGACTTGATTTCATTAATTTCATCATGCAAGTGTTTTAGTAAGGAGTTTTGTTCTGATTCATGCTGAGACAAAGAATTCACTTTACTAGATAGATCAGAGGCAAGAGTTTGTAAATCAGATTTTTCTACAGTAAGTTGGTCATTATTATTTTGAAGAGACAACATAGAATTTTGAAGACAAGACAATTGATCATGCAATACATCACATTCATGCTTCAAGTCAGACAATTTCTCATGCTCTCTATCACTCTCATGCTGTATGACACTAACCTTTGAGATCAGACTGCTGTTTTCATCCCTCAACACCTCCAATTCTGCTGAAATAATCTGATATCTGGTTTGTTCTTCCACCCTCACCGACTCGACTTCTTGCCTCAGTAAATCCAACTGTTTGTCATGTTCAGCACGCAATTCATTTATCTCACTAACATGATCCTTTATCAACTGTTCATTTTCAAATGTCTGTTCAGTCAGTTTATTATCTAGATCATTAACTTTTTCGCTTAAATCTGTTCTTGTTTTTAAAAGGTCTTCATTCTCTGAATTTATCTCTTCAACTGATTTGGTAAGAATTTCACATTTTTCTAGAAATTGAGTTCTTTCAGTCACCAATGCTGCTTTTTCCTCAGTTAGGCTATCAAATGAACAAGATAGTTTTTCATATTTTTCTTCCAAATCACCTCTTTCTTTCTCTAATGATTCTATTGTCTGCTCTAATTCCACTGTTTTCTCATTTACCAACTGAAGGTCCTTTGTCATTTTTTCTATGGCACTGTCTTTTTCAGATGCATTACCATGAAAAGCATCTCTTTCCTGTCTTAATAAATCCAGCTCTGAGTTCAAATTCAAAACTTTGCCCTCAAATTCTTTACACTTACTGTTTAATACCTCTAATTCACTCTTAATTTTTTCACATTCTTCACTTTTCTGATCTAATAGTTTTTCTTTTCCTTTGATAACCTCTTCTTTCTCTGCTTTCATTTTTGTGTTTTCTTCAATCAAACCATCTTTATCCAAAATTAAAGTCTTGTTTTGATTCTCGAAATCTGCTATCTTTTGTTTAAGATCAGTTAATTCCTCCTGACAACATGAAAGACTTTGGTTAAGTGTATCTACATTTTCCTGTAGTTCATTAATTATGGAATGTTTATGTGAACACTTTTGGTTTAAGGCATCTTCACTTAGTCTTGCTGCATCTAATTCTGAACTCTTTTCAGCTAATTGATTTTCAACAGAATTCAACTGACCTTGCAAAGAATGCTCCCTTTCTTCTAGCAAAAGTTTATGTTCTTTTTCTGACTTCAAAGACTGATTAAGACTTTCAAGCTTGGCAGTGTATTCTGTTCTCTCAGTTTCAAGCACCAAATTAATTTCACAATTGCTCTCCATTAATACTTCTTTCTCTTCTTTAAAAGTCTTAATCAAATCTTCATAATTTTTATTACTGTCTTCCATTTGCTGTTTAATAGTATCACCATTGGTTTGTAAGTCTTCAATAATCTTATCTTTTTCACTTATTATCTTTTCAATTTCCTCATGCAGAGATTTTATAGTTTGGTCACAAGATTCTTTTTCGGCCAACAGTTCTGAGTAAACGTTTTCAAGTTCTTTTAATTGACTAAGTAAGGACTGAGTTTTTGATTCAAACTCTTCTCCCTTTGTTGATTGACCTTCTTGTAACATTTCAATTTCTCTTGCCTGTTGTTTTACTTGCAGTTCAGTTTCTCTCACTGTATTTTCCAAATGTGATTTTTCAGTCATTAGTGAATCAATTTTCAACTTTAGTTCATTAACCTCTGTACTGAAATTTTCCAGTTCAGACCCTTGCTTATCACATTTGACTTCTAACTCTTGTTTACAACACACTAAACTATCTACATAAGTTTTAACATTGTCTAAACAATCAGTATCACTATCAAGAGAATCCAAAAATTCTTTTACTTCCTTGTCTTTTATTAAAATTTCATGTTTCAATTCTTCACACAGCTTAGACTCTGAAGCTAACTTTTCTTGTAGTTTTAACAACTCAGCTTTTCGGGACTCTAATTCTTCAACTCTATCCTGAATTTCCTTATCTGCTTTCTCCAATAATTGATTCTTTTCACTGACAGATGATTCAAGCTGGGAAACCTTTTCTTGTAAATTATCTAGCTGTTGTGCTTGTTCCTCTGTAGTGTCCCTATAAGAGGATACATTTTCTTGTTCCAGTTTCAACTGGTTCTTTAAAGTCGAAATTTCCTCTTCAAGGGAAGTCAATCTGGATGACTGTTGGAGCTGAAAACAGGAAAACATAGGATTGAAGCCTGACATTTCAACTTTTTGTATTTCTTTAAAAATGTCAAACTTCTTAGAGGTAGGATAGATTATAAGGGAATTCAGGTTAAACTTAAAAGTAAAATAAATGAAGGTGATAAATACTGAAATACCTCTGCTTCTCCAATACCATAAACATTTAATAAACAAGAGGGCCATGATGGCCCTGAGGTCGCTCACCTGTATATAGGCCCCCCCCCCCCCGGGCCAATTTTTACAGACTTGGTAGACACCCATAAGAAGATGTGTCATGCTAAACATCTAAGTTCTAGCTCATTGGGTTTTTTAAAAGAAGATTTTTAAGTTTTTACTATACACATATAGTTAAAAACAATGACACCCCTGGGGCAGGGCCAGTTTTGACCCCTGGGCTTTTATTTGAACAAACTTTGTAGATATTTACTTAAAGATGTTTCATGTATAATATCTAAACTCAAGCTATTTGGGTTTTTTCAAAGAAGATTTTTAAGTTTTTGCTATGCACATATAAGGAAAATCAATGACCCCCGGGGCAGGGCCAGTTTTGACCCCAGGGCTTTTATTTGAACATACTTGGTAGACACCCATTAGAACATGTTTCATGCTAAATATCTTAGCTCTAGCTCTTTGAGTTCTTTAAAAGAAGATTTTTTAAGTTTTTACTATATGCATATAGGGAAATTCAATGACCCCCTGGGGCGGGGCCAATTTTGACCCCAGGGCTTTTATTTGAACAAACTTGGTAGACACTCATTAGAAGATGTTTCATGCTAAATATCTTAGCTCTAGCTCTTTGGGTTTTTTAAAAGAAGATTTTTTAAGTTTTTACTATATGCATATAGGGAAAATCTATGACCCCCTGGGACGGGGCCAATTTTGACCCCAGGGCTTTTTTTTGAACAAACTTGGTAGACATTCACTAGAAGATGTTTCATGCCAAATATCTAAGCTCTAGCTCTTACGGTTCTTTAAAAAGAAGATTTTTTTAAGTTTTTACTATATGCATATAGGGAAAATCAATGACCCCGGGGTGGGGCCAATTTTGACCCCAGGGCTTTTATTTGAACAAACTTGGTAGACACTCACTAGAAGATATTTCATGTCAAATATCTTAGCTCTAGCTCTTTGGGTTCTTTTTAAAAGAAGATTTTTTTTAAGTTTTTACTATATGCATATAGGGAAAATCTATGACCCCTGGGGCAGGGCCAATTTTTGACCTCAGGGCTTTTATTTGAACAAACTTGGTAGACACTCATTAGAAGATGTTTCATGCTAAATATCTTAGCTCTAGCTCTTTGGTTCTGTAAAAGAAGATTTTTTAAGTTTTTACTATATGCATATAAGGAAAATCAATGACCCCCTGGGGCGGGACCAATTTTGACCCCAGGGCTTTTATTTGAACAAACTTGGTAGACATTCACTAGAAGATGTTTCATGCCAAATATCTAAGCTCTAGCTTTTACAGTTCTTTAAAAGAAGATTTTTTAAGTTTTTACTATATGCATATAGGGAAAATCAATGACCCCCTGGGGCGGGGCCAATTTTGACCCTAGGGCTTTTATTTGAACAAACTTGGTAGACACTCATTAGAAGATGTTTCATGCCAAATATCTAAGCTCTAGCTCTTACGGTTCTTTAAAAGAAGATATTTAAAGATTTTTCTTTCGGTTGCCATGGCAACCAGAGTTCTGCATGAAATGGAATTCTTTGAACAATCTTGATAGAGCTTCATACAAAGAGTATTCCTGCCAAGTTTCATTAACATTGGCCTTGCGGTATCATAGAAGATGTCCTTAGAATATTTAAAATGTGGACGAACGACAGACGACGGACGCCATTTGGTTGGCCATCCTAAAAGCTCACCTGCACTTTGTGCAAGGTGAGCTAAAAAGATTACTTAATGTACATAAGCTAGTATAATTGAGTATCTATCATTTTTTTAATTAATATAAATAGTTTGCATTTTAATTTTTCAAAATAAAAAAATGCATATGTATTAAAAATGTGAGTTTAAGTACAAATAGAATATTTTAAAAGGAAAAATAACAAGAATACTACTAAAATAAACAAAAGTGAAAATAAACAAAATGTAGAAAAGTCTTGCAGTTTCCATAGCATGCCA